TACAATAAACAAATTACTAAAAAAAACAAAGTAGGCAAAAGACCTGAATAGTGACTTCTCCAAAGAAGACAGACAAACGGCCAGCAAGTATATGAAAAGATGCTCAACATTGCTAATTATCAGGATATCACAAATCAAAACCACAATGAGACACCACCTCACGCCTGTTAAGATGATCATTATAAAAAAAAAAAAAAGGCCCTTAGCTCAGTTGACAGGGCACCAGCCACATACACCTAGGGTGGCGGGTTTGAACCCTGCCCCAGCCTGCTAGGCAACAATGACAACTGCAAGCAAAAGATAGCTGGGTGTGGTGGCGGGCGCCTGTAGTCCCAGCTACTTGGCAGGCTGAGGCAAGAGAAACACTTGAGCCCAAGAGTTTGAGGTTGCTGTGAGCTGTGATGCTACAGCACTCTACCGAGGGCAACAGAGTGAGACTCTGTCTAAAAATAAAGAAGGAAAAGAAAGAAGTCAGGATCTTAAACAGGTATTTGCCCTTCTCCGTTCATTGTCACATTATTCACGATAGTCAGGAGGTGAAAATAATCTAAATGTCCATGGATAGATGAACGGATAAACAAAATGAACGGATAAACACAATGGAATATTATTCGGCCTTAAAAAGGAAGGGAATTCTGTCATAAGCTGCAACATGGATAAACCTGGAGGACATTATATTAAATGAAAGAAACCAGTCCCACCAAGCAAATACGGCACGGTGCCACTTATCTGAGGTATCTAAAGTAGTCAGATTCATAGAAACACAAAGTAGAATGGTGGCTGTCAGGGGCTGGGTGTGGGTGGCGGGAGGAATGGGGCGTATTCACTGGGTATAGAGTTTCCATCATGCAAGATGACAAATTCTAGCCATCTGCTGTACCACCCTGTGCACATGTAACAGTACTTGAACTGCACACTTAAAAATTTGTTACGACAACTTAAAAAAAGACATGGCAAGTTATAACCACATGCAAGTTTTAATAATAGCATCCTGTTAAAATATAACATAAAATAAAATGAGAGGGCAGAAACCAGCTCTGTTACATTTAATATATTATTATACTATTTATTATTATATTTTTATTAGTGGAATTCCCCTTCTAACCTAGGCGTTTGGATCATAATCCTGAAAGACACAATCCCAAATGCCATAATCCCAAATATTAGAACCTCGAAAGATCAAAAAATTCCCTCAAATCACAATCATGGGATGGTCACATCATATTGTGTACGGATGAGCTCATGTGGAATGAATTCTCGTGTACCCAAAAGAAGACAGAAGCGTGGCAGAGAAGAAGAGAAAATTTAAGAGGGAGTGCTCAAGTCGGTATATGTTAAATCACAGAATATCAAAAATAGCAGGGCTATGTGGAAAATGTGAACATACCCTCTGAGGCAAGCCACATCCTAAAAGAAAAAAACAGCTGTGGCTCGGCGCCCGGCCACATACACTGAAGTTGGCGGGTTCGAACCTGGCCCAGGCCAGCTAAACAACAATGAAAACTGCAAAAAACAAACAAACAAACAAAAACAGCTGCTATTCATCACAATGGGAGACTTCACAACATAGCTTACAATGGTGAAAGCTGGCCAGCTTGTACGGACTCACACTGTGTGATTACCCAAAATCTATTCCCGTGATATCCTTTTTCATATGTTGATTTTTCTTTTTAAGTGTTTTCACTTCTTTTCTTTTTCTTTAGTTTTTTTCCTCACTACTTTAAACTGCCGGCATTATGTTTTACAATTCACTATGCTGTGTATTTGTCTTTGTATCGGTGTCACTTTCAATACTGGAAGTGTAAATTGGGCAGAGACCTTCACAGAGTTTCAATGTGTTTTATAATTTTTTTTCATGTTTGACTCTAGCAAACTACATTTATTAACAACGTTGGGTTTGTGTGTAAGCATTGTGTGTGTGCATAAAAGTGTCAAGGCTTCCTCAGTAAATGAAGAACGGTCCCCTTTGGATATCTGCATTTGTGAAAGATACAATGTCTCAAGATCTTGGCTCTTTGAGTGACTGCATGCGTGCTGGTGCTGGTGACGCATCACCATTTTCAAAAGACTTAAGTTGTTCATTGATGACTTCGGTTGTGAAGCTGGATCCACACAATTATCAACCATAGTGATATGTATTTATGCATTTCCCTTTTTGACCAATTTTTTAAATAAACATGGAGTGTATGCTCCTATTATATCGGTGCAACTGTTGTTAGTGTGCCTAAGTGTTTATGCTTGCAGAAATGTTTATATTGGGCTGGGCGCAGTGGCTCTCGCCTGTAATCCCAGCTCTTTGGGAGGCTGAGGCAGGAGGATTGCTTGAGGCCAGGAGTTCAAGACCAGCCTGAGCAATATAGCATCTCTACAAAAAATTTTAAAAATCAGCCATGTGTGGTGGCATATGCCTGTCGTCCCAGTTACTTGGGAGGCTGAGGCAGGAGGATCGCTTGAGCCCGGGAGTTCGAGACTTCAGTGAGCTATGATTGAGCCACTGCACTCCAGCCTGGGTGTCAGAGTGAGACCTCATCTCTAAAAAAAAAAAGAAAAAGAATTAGGAAAACAAATGTTATTATTCTCTACTTACTTGTAAAGTGGCCCATGAAGTATTCTGTCTTTTCTTTTTTTTTTTTTTTCAGTTTTTGGCTGGGGCTGGGTTTGAACCCACCACCTCCAGCATATGGGGCCGGCGCCCTACTCCTTTGAGCCACAGGCGTTGCCCTATTCTGTCATGTTTTTATGTTTTGCAAATGTAAACAAGTATCTTTTAAAGAATTTAAAAATTGTTTTATCCAGAATTATATTTTGGGGATTTTGATCTTTTGGGATTTCAACATTCCAGATTGTGGCATCTGGGGTTGTGTTTCACAGGATTATGGTTCTGCTCCCTGACATCCTCATCTGCCACATGGACAGGTGGCACAGTACAGAGAAAGGCCCAAGAGAAGCATTAAAAAATAACCTGTATGTCCCCGAGGCTGAGCCTGGGACCTCAAGGGTATCAGATTTGGCAGGAGACGGTGGCTGCAGCTCAGACAAGGGTGGATTCTCCTCCACGACTAGGGGGCAACTATCAGCATCGGTATCTTCCACCTGCACTTCTGGGTGTTCTTCTGTGGCAGGAACTTGGGGAGAGGAAGGAGAGGAGAAAGTCAGAGAGAGAGGAAAGCCAGGTCTCAGGGTGCCAGCTGTGTTCTTAAGAAAAGCCTGCAGAAAGCATGTTTGGTGGGGCCTCTGGCAGCCGGGGCCCACAGAAAAGCTCCATGCAGGGGTGCAAGGATGCAGTGTGCAGGGTCCTCTGAGGGTCGGGCTGCCCCAGCCACTGCCCGGGAAACACAAAGGAAGCTGCAAAGCCCCAGGAGCTCTCAGACTCAGCCTGGAGCTCCGCACTCCAGGGCCCAGCCTGGCTTCCCTGTGCCTGGACAAGTGTCATTGACCTGAGGCAGCAGTGCTCAGAGGGGGCACAGGGATGTGGGAGAGCTGTAGACCTGGGGCTGGGCCTACCACAGCCTGGTTTCCCTCTCTGAGCCTCAGTTTCCCCATCCCACGGTATGGTGACAATGCCTCCCCAGGAGTCCTGAGCCTGGGTGGCTACCTAGGACCACTCAGGGCTCTGTGCATGTTTAAGGGGCTGCCCTTGTCCAAACTGCCTTCATGCCCAGTCCCGTCTTCCAGCTCAGCACCCCAGGTCTGCTTGGTAGTGGGGTGAGGCCCCCTGTGCCTCACGCTCTCTCCTTCCCACAGCCTGGGGAATCTCTAGTTAGGTTGACAAAACTTCTTCCTTAAATTTTTAACATCTCCATTCCTGGTCATCTCCAGAGGGCTTAGCGGTTAGTAAAACAAATCCCAGGGCCAGGTGTGGTGGCTCACACCTATAAGCCTAGCACTCTGGGAGGCTGAGGTAGGTGGATTGCCTGAGCTTACGAGATCGAGACCAGCCTGAGCAAGAGCGAGACCTTGTCTCTAAAAATAGCTGGATGTTGTGGGGTGCACCTGTAGTCCCAGCTTCTTGGGAGGCTGAGGCAAGAGAATAGCTTACGCCCAAGAGTTTGAGGTTGCTGTGAGCTGTGATGCCATGGTACTTTACTGAGGGCAACAAAGTGAGACTCTGTCTCAAAAAAAAAAAAAAATGCCAAAAAATCTTAAGGCTTTTTTCAGACCCCTCATCAAATTGCAAAATAAGTGTAAGCAGCTACATAAAGTGTTGGCCTTTCTCATGATGGCTGTTAAAAAAACAAACAAACAAACAAAAACCCAGAAAGCACGTATCCAACTGCTTCAGTGTGTCTCACTGCCCATATGGGGGGAGGCGTGTCCCTGCCTTGTCAGCACCCAAACCGTGCCTACTTGCTGTTGGGTGGTCCCGCCCAAAGTCCCTGAAGAGGGTGATGGAGCTGAATTTTAGGATGGGGACATGATACCAGGCCTTTGGAGGTGCGGAGATGATGGGCTGGCTGATGAACTTAGGGCGGCTCCTGGCATGCATAAAAACAAGGAAACATTCATGCAGGTGCCCAAGGAGAGCGTAACACATACTACAAAGGAAATCTGTTGCCCCTGATCAGGGGAAGCTGCTAAATGTCTCCATTTGATGCTCTTCAAGAATGGGAAGCCTGGTACCGCAGGGCCCCTTGGAAAGGAAGAGGGCAGGGCTGCCCCCCTTACCCTGGGTACGACTCGGCAACTGTGACTTTCATTTCCCACCAGCTTGGTAGAAATGATATTGGCTTATATCATACTGATTATAGACTGAGAATAATATTATTAAAAATATAAGCAATGATACTATATTATGATTAATAAATTGGTTTAGAGAATGGTATGTACTGTCTGGCACTTCAGCTAGGCATCTGTTCTCCTGGACTCTGAGTGTTTTATATACGTTAAGTCTTTTAAATGTCCCACCTGTTCTACAAGGTAGGTGAAGGAACAGAAGCTCAGAGAGGTTAAGGAAGATGATCAGGGCTC